TCCTATCCTACCTCGAATCGCAAGTATACGTGCCAGTGTGTTCGCTGCGGTCAAACGTTTTCGATACTTGCATACATCGCGTCAGCGACAAACGAGTCGCACGATATTTAGTACTTTGTGCTACGATCTTATCGCTGCTACCGCTGGGCCCCGGAGGCCACCGAACCTCCGATGTCGCGATTCGCGAGCGCCTCACGGCGTACCGACAACGCCTTCCGCGATATCCAGCGTTTGCGCTATACGCTCCGTCAACCGAGTCACGAGACACGTCTTATCGAAACTGAGACCCGATTATTGGCACCATTTTACATCAACTCGCCAAAGCTATCGTATTCTGTTCTGTATCAAGGACTACTAATAAACTTTTGTTGTTTCTTTTTGTTAGTTGCTTGTATCAATCAATTACTGAACCCAGACTCCGACGAGCGAAAACCCAGGCGATTCCATCAACGACCGAGACGTGGAGTTTGGTTGTTACATGTATAGTTGATAGATAGGACGGAAACTAAGAAAGAAAATTGAAGAAACTCCAAATTAAAAATCGAAGAAAACGTATTCCATTAACATATTAATGTGAGAAACATTTTTAAGCTAAAAATAATTCTGTTGCCGGTTTTTAAACATAATTTTATTGAGTGCGAATTGCAAAAGGTATAAGTACGAAAGGATTGCTCTTCAAAAATACAGATATACGTATATTTGGAAACATTTCCTGGCGAGAAATAACTCATTTATCGGTTTTTAAGCATAGTTCTCTCTTGAGCGTAGGTAATAAAGACCAGTGTTCCTACCAAGAAATTGCAGCTCAAAAATCAAAATATACATATCTCGAAAACTGATAAATGGAGAAAATATTTTCTGGCGAGAAATAACCCATTTATCGGTTTTAAATATAGTTCTCCCTTGAACTCGAACTGTAAAGGGTGGTTTTCTTGCCAAGAGGTTACAGTTCACGAATCATAGATTATATATTTTGTGAGTATATTAATCGGGCAATAATATTAATGAAAGTTCTTTTGAGTTCTTTTTTTTATGAATTATCTCTTAAGCGTAAACTGTTTAAAAGTTTCTATGAGGGAAAGCATGGAGCTCAAAAATCAAAATTATGCTAGTTTGTGAGCTCCTAATTAGCTCCTAATTCTGTTCTTATCCTGATTCTGTTCATGCAATTTTAAGAGATGGGGGGAGGGCTGAGTGAACGTTCGCTCAGCTCCCCTATCTACAAATATAAATTCCTGCTCAAGGAAACGAGCTCAAAATTTTTTATTAGCGGGGATCGAAAGCTCATAAATAGCTCCTAATCCTGAGTTATTCGTTTTTTAGTTTTTACATAGGAGGGGGCAGCTGAACGGAGGTTATTATGTCTTTACCATAATAAAACTCTAATTTTTTGTATTTTTCTTCAATCCAATAAAAGTTCAAATTTATAATTTGCAATATAATTCAATGACTTTTTGGCAAATTATAAGGTTATTATTCACTACCTAAAAGTTATATTTTTTAACAAATTTAAATAACTCTATTTTCTCGAAAGTATTAAATTTAAGAGTAGACTAATTTTTTAAACGTAGGCTAAACTTTCCTCTTTCATAATAAATAAGTCAAAGTAGAAGTCAATAGAACTATTTGTTTTAAAGTTATGATTCTTTTTTTTAAATGAGACATATATGTCCCACTGGCCATAAAAGTGTTAAGAAACATATGACTACTGTTGTGTATAAAATAACGTGTCGCGTTGACATATCAAGCGGATAAACGCCTATGGATAGTACAAGTATGGATATATTTTCATCTATTTTTTAATGCCATTCGAATTTCAACATTATTATATATAGTTAGATTCACCTTTAAAATTCTCTTTCATTCAGTAGAAAAAACTTCTACGTTGAAAAAAAAATAGTGAGTGATGGAGATATATTATAAACATATAACATTTTCGAAAAATCTAGGAACGTATTTGTACTCTTAAAACCATTAAATATTAATTTAAAAAATTTGTTCTATCTTCTATAGTTTAACGACATAAGTTTCGAAAGAATAAAAATCCGTTTCTTAATTAAAGTTTTACTTCCTAAACATATGAGCACGTATAAAAAATACGTATGTTCTATTTTGGTCTAAACTACTATTATCAAAATCGGAAATATTCCGAAATACCATTTCGTGAATTTGTTTACATGTCACGGATAAAGGTAACGCCTGATTGGAAAACTTCAAAATCGATCAAATATATTTAACGATATATTCGTTGATTAAAACTCGAATTTTTCTTACAATGTGACTGTTGATTATAGGATAAATCAGTAATGAAGCTCTGAAGCTGCTGATTTGTTATTATTTATCAATTTGACAGCTTTATGTTTAACCTATATGGTCAGAAAGACACACGTAATGTTAATACGATAATTCCGAGTGCTTATTAGCTATTTGTTAAAAATATTTTAAATAAAAAGAAAAAGTAACGTATAAACACTTTTTCCAACATTCAAGTCATCGTAGTAGAAAGAGATTTAACATAAATAAACAAGATGAAGTACAAGATAATATAAAATTAAGTATTAAATTAACTAAGTTTTTAATCTGCAAAAGAACTTTTAAAAATATAAATAAAAGTTTAAAAGAAGATATATATAAATTTATGAAGAATTATGTAAAGATTTTAAAATTATACGGAAATTGTCCAAAATCCAAAGTCTAAAACAAATATATTTCGGCATATTGTCTGCTGTCTGAATAACACAAGTATGCAAAGATGTGTTTTCATAAAAAACTTTTTTATCATCATATAAAAAAATCATCCGATATCAAACCAAAATTGCGATAATGTTGTGGCGATATTTTGTCATCAAAATTACTATTTGTTTTGCCGAAAAGAGAACCTAATTAATACAGAATTATTGTGAAAATAAGAAGTAAACATTTTAATTGAAATTGTAGCATAATAAGTGGGTATTTCTTAAAATAAGCATATTTTAAACACATTATGCTGTTATAATAGTATTCTATGTTCTCTGTATATTTCTGTATATTTAGAGATATCCATGTCTTTACACTAGGGCTCTTTTAAGCTTCCTGGATACTTGTACTACCGCTTGTTTTATGACATCAAAAGCAAATATTCAAAATTTATTACGGAATGTTTTACAGTAATTTATGTTATTTGTTAAAACAAAAGGAAAATGTTCGAACTATTTTACAGATTCGCTCGTTCGAGATTGAAAGTGTCACTTTATGAATATATCTTTTTATTTCGACATATTTCGCAGAAATGTTGTGTATGTATTTTCTCGCTTCCTAACGTTATCAAATAATCACACAGTGTGTAGCCTTAAGAATTAATTTTATATTAACCTGTTATTCACCTCTTCTTGCTTAATATAATTGTTTTATTTAATTATCTGTATATAATTTTACCTAGATGATAGTAAACATTGTTGATTATGGAAATTTCCAATGTACTATGCCTAGAGAATAAAACTGCATAAATAAAATTTTGTGTATAAAAATATTAAGGTACGGTAATCGAAAAGTGAATACTTTTACAAGATATTTTATATAGTTTATATTATACATACCAGGATACAATATAAAATATTTCTCTTTAAATATTTTTACTTTCCAATAATCTTACCTTAATATTTTTTCCACGAAGCTTGAGAAAGCAATTGTTAAAAATTGTTAAAATTTCATTTGATTGTAATTCGATTGTATTATTCAATATAAAAGTACAAAATAATGTCAACATAATCTTAATAAAGCAAGCCAAGCATAATTTTTATTATTAAAATATGTCTCCCTTGCAACTAAATATCCTCGTAAAAATGAGATTTTGATATTACTTAGTTTAAGAGACGTTCAAGAGCATTTATTAAAATAGGAAATATACCTCTCTCCCTGTTTAAAATATATAAATTTAGTTATAATATTATGACACACACGCACACACACACACATACACACACGCATACCTATATATATATATATATATATATATATATATATATATATATATAT